TATTTTTAGTAATATTAATATTATTATTAAATTGCAACACTCGTATGTAAATAGGATTTAAGTTATTGTTTTAAATAGATTTTTCTCTATATATATCAGTAAATTTCTAAACATTTATCTAATAATTTAAATATTCAAAGTGATTACTTGTTTAATAAGTTTATAATAGTATACATTGAAAATATATAATATATATATATATATAACTACAATGAATAAATCATTATTACTATTGGCTATACTAGCATCATTAATGCTAGTTAATGTATATGCTCAATATGGTAAGTGTATTTATATGTATTAAAAAATGTTATCATGATGCTTTTTTATAAATAAAAAATAATAAAATATTTTATCATGCGATAAACCTAATTATTATATATCTTTTTTTAAAAAAATTATTGCCGATAAAAGTCATTGACGTTAACTTTCTCACTGAAATAAATAAAGTTTAATATTATTTATTTTTTTAGCTTTTTGTCGGCAATAAATATTTTTATATATTTATAAAAGCGCTTACTATATACTGTATTAATATTGCATATCTATATAATTTTTATGTATTTATTAACTTATATTTTATAAATTAATATTTTTAATTATTATTATTTACAGGCAATAACTATGGTTATCCATGGAGAAGGTATGGCTACCCCCGTGGTGGTGGTGGTCGGTATGGTTATCGGCCATATGGTATGTATGGCCGATGGTCTCCCTATTATCGATATAACAGAAACTATGGTAATGATGGAAACTATGGCTATGGAGTAAATAATGACTATCGTAATGGTGGTGACAATTGAAACAAACTAAACAACATTAAAAAAACAATATAAACTCATTTATATATTATATTATTAATATTATATATATATATATATATATATAATTATTACTTTAACATCTCAAACATATATGTAATCATATAATTTATTTCATGTTATATTTAATTTACAGAAATATTTATTTATTTTAATTCATTAGAAATTTTAAACAACCATTATATTTATTATTGAATATAAAACTGTCATTTAAACATTATATATTTCAAAGTTATTTAATAAAAAAATATTTGTATTAAAATTTTTAAAATGAAACTAGAAATTAATTTTTTAAAAACATGAAATTATTAAAAAAAATTCTTCAATTGCTATTATGTGGAAAATTATATGTTTATATATGACCCCAACCGCCTCCCCAACGGCGCCAACTACGCCACGGTTTATAATATCCGCCGCCATAACCACCACCGCCCCAACCGCCGCCATATCCTCTATAGCCATATCCGCCGCCACTAACATACCAAGCATTTACTATTAATTAATTAATTAATATTAGAGTATAAATAATTTTTAAAAAAATAATATACATATATATTTGTAAAAATAACTTTAATATCAAAAATAAATACCTGTTATTATTGTAGCAAACAATAGACAAACCATAAATACAAATAAAATTTTGTTTGACATTATTATTATTAGTAGTTTAACAAATTTATTACTTTTAATAAAATTTTCTATAATAATATTTTTATTTTGACTAGATCAATTGCAAATTGTTACTTATATATACTCGATAAAAAATACTAGTATACAAGTTCTAATAATTAAAAAAATTGTGTTATTTTTTGTACTTTATTTACTAATTTTTAAGATACTATTAATAATATTATAGTAGTATATTATAGCAATATTATATTGTATTGTATATGTATTATAAGTATTAATTTTTTAAAAAAGTTTTACATTTGTACTTTTAGTTCTAATATTTATTAGTATTATTATTATTATTTATAATTATTGTAAAAAAAATTAATTTATAATGTATAGTTTAATAACTTATTAAGTTATCATAATAAGTTAAGTAAATTTATTTTATAATATAATAAAAAAAAATATTTATTAGTTTATATTAGTTTATTATATTATAGACTATATGTACTTTCAAGGTTAAGGCTATTATTTAAAAGTTAAAGTTTTATTATATATCGCTAATAAATCATAAAATACTTAATCAATTTGAATGTCATTTATATAATTAAATAGATTCACAAAATATTTATTTCTTTGTTTAGTTAAAATTTTTATCAAAAATTAACATACATTGTAATTATATTCATAACAATAACAATTTTATTTGAGTTATTAATTAATTAATTAATTAATTGATTATAAGTATTATTTATGATTATTACATAATTAAAGTATTTTTAGCCCCACTTTTTAAACTTGCGATGATGTCCGCCACCATAACCTCCATATCCGCCTCTATGATGTCCACCAAATTTTTTATAACCTCCATAATGCCCGCCACCACCACCGTAGCAACATTTGCCATGACCTCCACCATACCCTCCACCGTAACCTCCATAACCTTAATATAAAATTTAAAAAAAATAATAATACTTTTTACTATACATATAATATTGTAATTAAATAATAATTTTATTTTTTTTAAAAAACTATATAATTGGTATTACTGTACCTCTCTTTCTAAATGCATCGTTAATATCCAGTACATTTAGTATCACAAATACTACTATGAAAATTACAATAACTGATTTCATTGTTAGTATTTATTTTGTTAAAATACAGTAATTTAGATTTTGTTAAACTAAATTTATTTTTAAATACAATTTTCAATACCAGCAATAAATGTCTAATGTTTTAATACAAAATCTTAAATACAATATCTAACGATATTTATCTTTTAAATTATAATTTATTAAATATTAACATTTGTTTTATGTAATTATGTTTTATATACTGTATAGTATATACACGGTTTATAGTGTATTGTTAAAATAATAATATTAATAATAATCATAAATAATATTTATCTAATGTAGGATTTTCCAATAATATGCTAATTTAGTAAATACAATATAATTGTTTCTATTTAAGTTGTCTAATCAATTATATTTACCGCTTTTTTAATTTATATTGATTTATGCAATTGTCTATATTTATTTGTTTTTATCTATTAATTTATTTTTATATTTGAGGGTATTTTTCTTATTTAACATTATATTTTACAGTAATATCATACAACTTAAAAATTTTAATATCCATTAATATTATCTAAATTTAAAAAAAAATCTTTAATAGTGAAATAATTAATGTACCATCATATTCATTGTATATTTCAATTAAATTAAAATTAATTAAGATAAATTAAATTATTTATTAACGTTAATAAACGTTGTCTATTAAATTATACAATATAAATATTTAAAATAAATTTATTATATAAGTATTTGTAATTATTATAAAAATCAAAATATTATAAATATTTTTTTATAAATATTTATATATTAAAATAATTATAATTTATAATAATTATGCATTCAATAACCGGATAAACTTATATATTGACAACTGTTTAAATAAATTAAAAAACTTTATTTTTGTTCAAGTATTGCAAAATTATCAGAAAATATGTACAAAAGATTTGATTTTATTAATAATTGTTAAATTTATTGCATATATAAGACCAATATTTCGCAAAACTTTAATAATGTATATTTGTACAAATGTTTGTTAAAAAATTTAACAATTATTAAAATATTAAACTAATTAATTTATTTAACTTAACTGAAAACATTAGTCTACTAATTTTTTTTTAAAAAAATCTTTATTTTTAAATATAAATATATATTAATAAAATTATTATAGTTTGTATTTTTTAGTTGAATTTTTTAATGTTATAATGCTAAATATATCAATTGTTATTATTTAGATTATTAATAAATAAAAAATAATAGTGTATACAGTTTTACATACAATTTTGTGTGGAAACAACATTACTGTATAAGACAATTGCAGTCAATATTTTATTATTGCTTATAATAAAGACTTATATATCAATGATATTTAATAATATCAATATAATTACTGTATACACTATGTAAATAATTAAAAGTTTATCAAAATATATATTGAGTATATATAATAAACAATTAATTTTACAGTTTTTAAATTGTATTTTATTTATCTACAAATTTTATTAATATCATAGTTCTTAAAATTAAATTATTAGTAATTTTTTAAAAAAATAATATAAAAGTTTTATATACATTTAGATTTTATGTATTCGTGTTATTATTTATTTATAAAACAATAGCAATTGTTTGTCAGTTGACTTATATACAGATAATTCATACAGTCATACAGTCAATAGATAGCAATGTATACTGTATATTGAGATATTTTGTGAATAATAAATAATTTTCAAAAATAAAATTTAACAATAATTCAAATATTTTAAAATTTTGTAAACTAATTAATTAATTAAATTTAAATTATCAATGTCTAGATTTATTAGTTTATTCAAATGAGTAATTAAAATGTTTATTATTATTTATAATATCAAAATTATACTAATTGTTGGCCATTTTTCATAGCCGCCCATTGATTTTGATAGGGATAATACATGCATTTTTTTTATAAATAATGTCCCAACAATTTTGCTACCAATTTATTGATATAGATTAAAATACAGTATTTTTTTGTATGCCATGCGGCATAAGTTATACAACAGTAACCGTACACTTTGTGGTCCCAGAGTTTTTATCGGCAATATCTATGACATAATTATATCGACTTTTGATTACATGACACCTACCCTCGACCGGCAAAAAATAATATTTAAATTTTTATTTTATTTAATAATAAAAATAATTACTTTAACTTTTTTTGTATGTATATTTAATAACATAGTCAATGCTTAAAGTTATAAAAGAAAAATTATACATTAATTTTATTTTTTTGAAAAATATTAATAAATTAAATTTTTCAGTTTATGTATAATGTTTTATAAAATACACTTTAGTATTAAAGTTTTTAATTTTTGTTTTAAATAGAATAATAATAATTATTATAATTATAATTACTTTATTATTATTATTATTATTATTGAAAATTTTAACAATAGATAGAAATATTATTAACTTTATTGATTTATTTTAAAAATTTGTTCAAACACTAGGGGTTTGTTTTAGGGGACACCCGGATTTGAACCGGGGACCTGTCGATCTGCAGTCGAATGCTCTACCACTGAGCTATATCCCCATATATATTATTATTTAATAATAATATAATTGAAAATAAAATTGTTGATGTTAATTTTTACAATATTATAATTATTATGAAATATGATATCAGCAAAAAAATACAATTATTATTTATTATATTACTGTAATTATAATTACAATAATACACATACATTTAAAACAATAATTTATTACAAAAGTTATTATTTTATTAATATATGATTATTAGTAGTAAACTTTAAATGTAGATTTTGTTTCTAAAAATATTTAATTTATATATATATATATATATATATAAATTTTATAATTGCAAATAATGCTTTTATAATAAAGTATAATTTATTAATATTTTCTCAAAAAATATATACATATAATATACAAGTGTAACACATAAAATATAGTAATCATATAATTATTACTGATACTAATTATAGTTAATATAAGTTAATAATAAATCATAATTGTAATTATTATCCATAATATGATCCATAGCCATAATAGTTTGGATAATAATAATTGTAATAATATGGATAATAATAGTTACCATAAGTGCCATAATAATAATTATATGGATAATAGTTGCTATAATATCGATTGCCATATCCTGTAAATAAAACTGTATTAATTACTTATTTAGTTTCAATTAAAAACAATATTTAAAAATTATAAACATTTAATTTTATTTTTTAAAAAATAATTATAATTACCCAAATATTGACTGTTAATTTCATAGACACTCAACATTAACATTAGCAACAAAATGTTTGATGACATTATTTTTGAATTTATAGTAAACATTGTTTATAATTTTTTATTTTAAGATTTTTTTTGTTTAATAAAAAATTAAAATATGAAAATGCTTTACTTAAAAATACATATTTTATTTTACACACACTTATATATATAAATTATTAATAATGTAGTCGTAGATATTACAATAATAATAATAATAATGTAAATGTCAATGATGTTTATTTAAATTTTAAAAAACCGGACACAATACCTTAGTACACCTGAATAAACAGTTTTTAGTTTATTTAGCTAAAATTAATTTTCATTATCAATTTTTAATAAGTTATATTATTAGAAAAAAATTATGCTTATTATTATGACTAATAATAATATAATGTGGAATTATTTTAATAAATAATATTTTTTTAAAAATGTTTACATAAGTAATACAATGTTTATGTTACTAAATAAAAAGTTTTACAAAAAAATATTATTTTATTTTTTTTGTATAAAATTAAATACATTTTTTTCCGTAACAATTGTTGAAATAAAGTTGTAAACATTGGCAACAAAGTTGTGTACCGTATTTCAAAAAAAATATTTCAAATTTACTTTAATTATATTTTAATGGGTAAATAACATTTATTAATAGATTTATTGAAAATATTTGAATAATATTGTTAAAAATAGATTAATATTTTTGACAAATTCAGACAATAATAGTTTTTTTTTTAAATACAAATATTGATACGATATATAATATATTTAGATAATATAATAATTATACAGTGCTTATACAATAATTATGTTTGTTTTAGTTATTATTATTATAAATAATAATGGCTGCTAAAAATATTTAAAAGTTAGTTAAATATTTTTGTTGTTATCTTTACATTAAGTATTTTTAATAATAATAATAATTTTAAAAAATTAAATATAAAAAGATTCTTAGGGGGCACCCGGGTTTGAACCGGGGACCTCTCGATCTGCAGTCGAATGCTCTACCACTGAGCTATATCCCCTTGGATTATTAATAATGCAATTGCATTTTATTGTACATCTATTATTGTATATAATAAAAATGATATCAACAAAATAAAATATATTTATTTATATATATATAATGTATTTATTTAAATAATTGGTTTAATATAAATATATATACAGTACATATGTTTTCATATTATCATAAACTGTACAATCTTTTTATGATTATAACTTATTTCTATATTATTATTATTATTTAACTTAACTGAAAACATTAAATCCTTATTTTTAAATATAAATATATATTAATAAAACTATTATAGTGTGTATTTTTTAGTTGAGTTTTTTTTAATAAATGTTATAATGCTAAATAAATCAATTGTTATTATTTAGATTATTAATAAATGAAAAAAATAATAGTGTATACAGTTTTACATTCAATTTTCAATAAACAACATAAGATTCTATTAGTTTATTTTTATTATTGCTTATAATAAAGATTTGTATATCAAATGATTTTTAATAATATCAATATAATTACTGTATACACTATATTAATACTTAAAAGTTTATAAAAACATATATTGATTATATATAATAAACAATTAATTTAATACAGTTTTTAAATATATATATATAGTAAAATAATTATAATTTATGAAATATATATATATATATATATATTCAATAACCGGATAAACTTATATTGACAGCTGTTTAAGTAAATTAAAAAAAACTTTATTATTTTTTTTTGTTCAAGTATTTCAAAATTTGTAAAATTATCAGATATTTACAAAAGAGTTGATTGTATTAATAATTGTTAAATTTATTGCATATATAATATATAAGACCAATATTTCGCAAAACTTTAATAATTTATATTTTTGTACAATTGTTTGTCAATAAAAAAATTAAATTAAACAATTATTAAAATATTTTAAAATTTTTCAAACTAATTAATTTATTAAAATAAAATTATCAAAATGTCTAGATTAATTAGCTAAATCTGAAATATTAGTAATTAAAATGTTTATTATTATTATTATTATTGTTTATAATAATATCAAAACCATACTAATTGTCGGCTATTTTTCCTACCCGTTCATTGACTAGTGATTTCGATTGGGATAATACCTAAAGTTTTTTTTATAGATACTGTCTCAACAATTTTGCTACCAATTTGTTGATATTTGTTATTATTATTAACATATTATTAAATATAAACTAAAATACAGCATAAGTTATTGTAACCGTAAAAATATATAGTGTTTTTATATTATCATATACTGTACAATCTTTTTATATTATAACTTATTTCTATAATATTATTATTTAACTTAACTGAAAACATTAGTCTACTATTTTTTTTAAAAAAATCCTTACTTTAAAATATAAATATATATTAATAAAATTATTATAGTGTGTATTTTTTAGTTGAGTTTTTTATAAATGTTATAATGCTAAATAAATCAATTGTTATTATTTAGACTATTAATAAATAAAAAAAATAGTGTATACAGTTTTACAATCAATTTTTTGTGTGGAAACCACATTATATATGAATATCTATGAACAATTTATTATTGCTTATAATAAAGATTTGTATATCAATGATATTTAATAATATCATTATAATTACTGTATACACTATATTAATACTTAAATGTTTATTAAAACATATATTGATTATATATAATAAACAATTAATTTAATACAGTTTTTAAATTGTATTTTATTTATCTACAAATTTTATTAATATTGTAGTTTTTAAAATTAAATTATTAGTAATTTTTCTAAATAAAATAATATAAAAGTTTTATATACATTTAGATTCTATGTATTCGTGTTATTATTTATTTATAATATTAAAAAACAATAGCAATTGTTTGTTAGTTGTCTTATATACAGATAATTGGATGATTTCAATGGATAGCAATGTATATATTGAGATATTTTATGAATAATAAATAATTTTTATTTCTATTAGTAAGTGAAAACCATTGACCATTACTTAGCAATGTTTACAGCTATCCTAATGACAAGTGATTTCGGTTTTAAAAAAATAATTAATTTTATAATAAATAAATTTACTTTTTTGATGATATACTGTTTCCAACAACACTACCAGTCAGTTGTCTAATATTCAAATTATTTCTATTTTAATGTTTCAATAAATTTATATTAAATATATTGTATTTAATAATATTAGTATATAATTAAATATTTTTTTGATATAATATTGATTTCCATATCCATAGCTAACTGTTTGGGGTTTTCAAATTGGATACATAAGCTTAATATGAATAAAATATATAAAGGGTTGTTCACATATTACTTTCGGACTTTTCAATAATTATAGACCCCCTTCCTCCCCTATGTTTGCATGTAGTCATTTTAAAAAATACGTTCTCATGTCCCTAACTGTTACCCCCCCCCACTACAAGAAATATATATTATCTAAATGCGAACGTTCTTAAAGTCTCTATCACTCCCCTTCCCATCGTTCGCATAAGTTCGTTTTGACTAACCCCCCACTCCCCTCAAGTGTGAACGTAATATGTGAACCACGCCTAATAACTAATTTATTAGTTTATTTATATATTTATAATCCAAAAATAGCATAAGTTTTTTCATTTGTCTACTAAATTTTATAAAACTATTACTTTAAAAAATATTAACAACACTTTTATAGTTTGCATAAAACTAATTAATTATTTAATTTTTATAACATTATTAAATAAATATAATTAAATATTATTTGGTTTATAAATTACAAAAAATTAGTGTATAAAATATTAAATAAGATTTTTTTGTGGTCAATCAATAGTTTAATTAATGTGCTTATAATAAACATTTGTTATTTATGATATTAACTAATATCAATGTATAATTACTGTATACACTATATGATATGTAAAATTGTTTATCAAAATATATATTAATTATAAATAATAAAAAATTATTTTGTTACAGTTTTAAAATTTTTAAAATTATTCATTTATATTTTATATTATTAATAAGTATTAGATTAAAATATAATTATGTAATTTTTTTTATTAAAAATATTATTATTATTTTAATATTAAAAACAATACCGATTATCAATCAGTGGTCTTCAATATACAAATTATTTCTAATTTAATGTTTTAATAAAATTATATTAAATATAGTAATTAGTAATTAATTAAATATTTTTGAATAATTAATAAATTTAATTTTTTGTTGACTTTTTATAAATGTGAAAACCATTGGCAGTCACTTAACATACGGTCGATACAAGTCATACAATACCAACCAAACGTATAGTTGTGTCCAACAGTTTTCATCATCACATGACCCGTGAGATCGACACACAAATAAATAAAACTACATTTTCTATTAATATAACTATTTATTTTTAAAAAATTTGATTTAATTGATTACAAATAATAGTAAATAATTATTTCTATTAGTATTTAATTTAACTGAAAAAAACTTGTATACTAAATTTTGCTCTTGAAAAATACAATTAAAACTATTATAGTGTGTAATGTTATGTTATGTTATGTTATGTTATTTTATTAAATTAAATTAATTAATTAAACAATTTATTTTAGTAGAAATTTGTTTATAATATTTTTATAATAAGAATATATTTTTATTTAAAAAAAATAATAATATTACTATAAAAAAAATTATTATTTATTTTATAATTTACAAAAATTAATAGTGTATTACAGTATTAAACAATCTTTAGATTTAAATTCTACGATAAGAATCTTTGTATTGATTATAATTTTTGCTTATAATAAATATTTATTATTATTTTATTATATAATATAACTATTTATTATATAATTAATAATTACTGTATACACTATTTTTATTATTAAAATATATCAATTTATTTATTGATTATAATTTGTAAACAATTAATTTATTACAGTTTTTAAAATTGTATTTTATAAAAATCTATTTTATTAATTATTCAAAATTAAATAGTTAATATTTTATAATTATTATTTAAAAATTATTATATACAATAGATTCAACAATTTATCAAGTAGACTTTTATTATAATTTATAATAGTTATTATTATTTGAATTATATAAGTATAACTAATTAATTTGAACAATTAAAACTATTACAGTATAGTGTGTAATTTTATTAGTAGAGATTTGTTTATAATATTTTTATAATATGAATATAATTTTACTTTTAAAAAAATTAATATTAATATAAAAAAATTATTGTTTATTTTTAAGTTACAAAAATTAATAATGTATAACAGTATTAAATAGTCTTTAGATATAAAATCTTTAATATGAGTCTAATTTTTGCTTATAATAAATATTTATTTTTATTATATTAGATAATATCATTAATAATTACTGTATACATTATATTAATTATTAAAATATATCAATTTATTTATTGATTATAATTTGTAAACAATTAATTTATTACAGTTTCTAAAATTATATTTTATTTATTTATTTTATTAATTATTCAATATTAAATAGTTAATATTTTATAATTACAGTTTTATTTGAAATTATTATATACAATAGATTCAACAATTTATCAAATAGATTTTTATTGTTTTGATAAATTTATAATTGTTATTGTTATTTAAATTATATAATTCTAACTAATTAATTTGAACTAGTATATTTATATACCGTATATGTATTATCCAAAAACAGCATAACCTCTGGGTCTATAATAACCGGCTCCATAAACATTGCGAGATTGGCCAAAGTTTCTATTAAGTTATGCATAAGTAAATAATAAAATTATTATTTAAATTAATATTAATTTTTTTTAAAGTATACATTAATATTTGAAAACATGTAAACATATATATATATATATATATATATATATAGTAGTGAAATATTTATATATTTAATTAATTTTTGTAAGTTACCTGCGATATCTAACTAGATATGGATTATAATAAATGGGATAATTATTGCCATAATTATAATATTGATTTCCATATCTATAGCCAATTCCTTGGTTTCTCAAATAAGGTCCATAACCTCTATTTATGTAACCATTAGTTAAATATAATGGCGAAACTTATAAATAATTAAAATAATTAATTATTATAATACTATTATATTTTTAAAATAATTTTTAAACTAATTTATTAAATATAATTATTTAAATAGATTTATCTTTAGTAAATAAAACTTACAAAATATTGCGTTTGAATAAATTATTAAACAAAATATTAATAGTGTAAAAGTGAAAATAAAATTAATTATATAACACATTGTTTTTTTAATAATTATGACACATAATAATTAAATTAATTAAAAATTATAATCTAGCAAAATTTTAAACATTATTTTTAATTTAAAATGTTTACTAACTAATGCACACACAAAAATCAATATATAAATGTAAATACAGCTGTTTATTAATAAAATAATTATTTTTTTAAATACTGTATGATATGTATATATATATATATATAAATAGTTTTTAAATAGATAAAAATTCAATGTTAATTAAAAAAAATTCATAGGTATTTATAGTATAAATATTTAATAAGCTGTAAATTACACAAAATATAATTATTTACTATTTTAATTAGAAATTACTCAATTATCTTGTAACTATTAATATTTAAAAATGTTAAAATTTACATATTTTTTTAATTATAATTTCCATTTATAATATTACTATTGTATCATATAAAAATAACATTATAAATATATAAATGTAGCATGATAAATTTATGGACCCCTAAAACCGGCACCTCTACAATACCGACCGCCAAAACATATGTAATTTTGTTGACAACATCCGGTTTGATTGTTAACATCTAATTAAAAACAATAAATTGATATTTAATTAAATCTAATTATTATTATTTAGGTATTATTATTGTATCAAAAAATATTAACTTACTTTCTTTAGCATTAAGACATTGTATACAATCAGTCCAAATTAGATTAACTAAAAAATAATATATAAATTACAATTACTATAATTATTAAATAATTTTTTTCAAAAAATAAATAACTAAATTATTTACCATAAATGCATATGGTTATTATAAAAGATAAAATTATAAAACGTAGCATTATGGTTAAATTTATTTTATAAATGTATTAATTAAAAAATAAACAACAAAATTATTTTTTTAATAATTTAAATGCATACGTGTAATTCAACATAACATGAAATGTATATAATATATATAATGATAATATTTATGATATTAGAGTATTTTGTTTTCATTATGCTTTAGCTAAAATATGCTTGCTCATTTTTAATACAATTTATAAAATAAATAATTTAATTTTCAGTAATTGTAAATAAAAAAATATAGAAAATTTCATGTGATATGTATTTTCTATTAAATAATAATAGAAATAATTAAATAAAAATTAAATATATTTTGATATAAATAAATTATTTATTATATAAGATTAAATAAGATATTATCAGATTATATAAAATTAAATTACTAGTCAAACAAATAATACAAATTATTGTAAAGTTTAATTAATTAGCATTTATTGTTTATATTTATAAATAAAACTAATTGATATACAGTATATAAAGGAAATAATTATTTAATTAAAAAATATAATTTTAAATAATAGTATCTCATTAATTAATGTCAAGAATTTTACTTAATATTTAATTTAACAAAATTATATTAAGTAACTGTTATTAGTAATCAGCTATTAGTAATAATTAAATACAAACAAAACTATTTTTAATTAAATAAATACATTATATTAATATGTATATTAATTAATAAGTTTTTAAAAAACAAAAATCCTGTATTTAACATATAAATTATTTTATAAATAAAGTTATAGATGACGTAAGTTTGAACTTAAGTTAAATTTTTGTATTTTTTCTTAAATTTTATCAACACTTTGAAACACTTAAATTTTGTAAAATATTTTACATTTTAGTAATAAATTATTCAAAAAATAACTGAATATTACTTTATTAATATTAATTTAAGTACATTTATATTCATAGATAATATATTAAAATTTTTGTATAAATTATATACACTTTTATTAATAATTATATCAAAACATTTTTTTAAAAGATTTAAATTTCCATTTAATTAATAATGTTTATATTAAGAGAAAATTTTAATGTAATAAATTTAAATAATTTCTTATACATTATGTATAATTATTAAAATAACATTAATATAAACTAATTGACATAGGTTATTTTAACAATTCAAATTATTTTTTTTATCTAATATACAGTATTAATAATAACTTAAGTATTATAATGCTATAAAAAATGATTAATTTTTAAGCAAAAATTATTGAAAAATTAAACAAACAATCATTTTTTAAATGATTTTTTACATTAAAAATCTAACATTTTTATAATAATAATACACAATAATGTATAGTTTAATATTAAGACATTCAACAATAGACGATAAAATTGTCGGTAAACCAAAAATTTTTCATCCAATCGACGTATGGCTCAAATCGATGGTCAATAATAATCATGTCCTGACCGGTGGCCGCCTTGAAGGCCACAATTGAAAATACCGGCCAAAGAGAGACCAGTATACCGACTATCCAATCGACTAAACCTAACACTAGTCGTGTGCAAACATGTCGCCGACGGATTGGACCGAAATACTCGGGTATACCTTTACGGTCGACAACTTTGGCCACCAGTTCACTGGTCGGCCGTTTCAAATCGTAGGCCATACCCAACCATTGCATTGATTTGATGAAAAAAGTTGACGGATTGTAAAATTCCCAACAGTTTTGTTCGGATGAACTATAATCCCAGGGAAACGTATGATGATAGTTATGATTGCCTTCACCCAGGGACAGGTAGATAACCAAACGATTTTCAGTGGGCAATATATGTCTATCATAGGGACGCCAACCGACATAGTGGGCAATAGAGTTAACAGTAAACAAGTGATTCAGTATAACACATGTACGCAAAACACCGCACAACAGGAATGCCGTCAACGGGTTTTCCGACCATATGAGCCACGGTATGAGTGTTGGGATTATAAAACCGAAAACTATGGCCAACGGTGTATAGTATCGGTGCTGTAGGACCAACATTGGATCGGCGTACAGGTCGTCATAGTTTAGTTTACGGCCCCATTGTTTGACAATCGGCTGTTTTTTCAACAGCCACCAGCCATAGTGCGAGTAGAATAGACCGCGACTCGGATTTTTCGGGTCCTGTTCCCGATCGGTCCACTTGTGATGTGTCCGATGATCGCGTGCATAGGACAGTGCCGACCCATTCAGTGTTGTAGTCTGTAGGATAAGCAACAGTACTTTCAATGGCAATCTGGCTTTAAACGAACGGTGCGCCCATAGCCGGTGACCACCTAATTATAAATTTAATATAAAACTCATAATTAATTTTAATATACAGATATATCATATATTGTTGACTAATATACTATAGTTTTAGAGTTAAGTTTTTATTGTTTTAAATAATTTATCAATTAGTACATTAAAATTTATTTTAATACAAAAAACTGTAAATAATTGCTTAATTTTACAATACTATTTATACAATATATTTGATTAATTTAAAAAAAAAATAAAATTACTGTAATTATTTAGTTAGTTAAATACTAATTATCTATTGGTAAAAATTATTATTTATGACAAAAAAATTATTTACTAAATTAAATTTTATAAAATGCAAACTTAATTAATAAGATTAATGGTCTTTTGAATATTTTCAGATAACACACAGTGTGTTATGACATAAATATTTTTTTATTTCAGAAAATTTTTTTTTTTAATAATTAACATATAAAGAAAAAATAAGTTTTTAATTGTTTTAAACTGTAAATTATTTTGTATTAATATAACTTTTTGAATTTTTATTAATATATAATTACTAGAAATGTTTTATAAAAAAAATATTTTGCTAATTTTTATAAATATTATATATTTATTATATTAATATAATATATTTAAATTAATAAAATAATACTTTACCCACTGACATCCCTAAGCCAGAAAATATAGACAATACACTGACAAATATGACGGTAAAAAAACGAACCGGGTTAATCAAGGCATGTATATATCCATATAAAGCACCCAGATGCAAACAACTTAAAAATATAACATTGCTCCATTTGATTTCGCTAAATTGATAACCAAAAATTATTTTAAAGCAACTAGTTGATTTATTTTGACTTATTGTATCATTACTATTATTATTTAAATCTTTGTTGATTTTAGTGTTATTATTATTATTTGTATTACTATTATCACAGTCAATTGAAATTTTTACATCACTTATAAGTTTATTTAATAATTTATTATCTGAATTATAAATATTATTATTATTTAATTTACACTGATCATTTTTAATTATCAAATCACTAATCAATTCATTAGTATTACTATTAATATTATCAATATCTATTTTTTCATTATTTTCTAACATTTTTTAAATAATAATAATAAAGAATCACAACATTTATTAATAACTTATTGTATTTTATTTAAATAATTTTTAAAGATTATAATATTGTTTTCATCTCTCAAATAGAAATTTATTTTCACAATAAGATATAGTATATATATATTTATTTTTTTTTGGAAAAATGCTTTGATATTTAAAAAAAATTATTGAAAATTAATTTTTTGAGAGCTCCGGGCGATTGCGCTCATGATTTTATATGAGTCAATAAGTGTGTAAACGAGTTTGTTGTGTGTGTGTGTGTGTGTGTGTGTGTGTGTGTGTGTGTGTGTGTGTGTGTATGTATGTATGTATGGTTGTGTTTGTATACTATGTTATGTAAGATCTTTACAAACTTAAAAAATAAATATATATATATATATTGTGTAAAATATCGACAAAAATATGTAATTAGCTATCAATTAAAAAAAATAAAAGTATACCGTTTTTTAAGTTAATTATAAATTATGTCTTTAAAATGGAAAACTTTATTAATTAAATTGATAATAAAAATAATAGGGATTTTTCACATTTATAAAAATTGTATTCAAAATAAATATTATAACTGTCAGAAATAATTGATTTTTTATGTCAATTATATTTTTTTATTTTATCTAATTAATTACGACAATTACATATTTTTTTGTATAAATAATTATAAATTGTATTATAGATAATATTTATACTTATTTTACTTAAATTATTATTTGGTTTTAACAAAAAACTAAATAATAACTTTATTTTTTAATTTATATTAATTAAGTTTTTTTAAATAAATAAATCATTGTTTATAATAATTTAAATAAATTTTGAAACTAAGTTTTAGCATAATAATAAATATTAAAAAAAATAAAATGTAAGAAATATTAAATTACTTTATTTATTTGCTAATTAAATATTATAATTATTATTAATTGTATTGTATTTCAATAATAACATTTAATATAAACGATAAGCATATATAATAAAGGCTTACAATAATTATTAACTTTAAATTGTGTCACTACAACAAAAATGACACAAAAAAGATTGTATTTAAATTGAAAATATTGTTATTTTAATTAATAATTATTGATATATTATTTGATAACTTAAGTAATATTTCTCACATATAGTTATAATTTAAATTTACTTTTACTCTACTTTTAATGTTTGAAAAAGAAAAAAACAAATTAATCTTTTGAATAAAATTAATTGCTTTTAAACGTTTTAATTGCTTAATACACTTAAAAAGTAGATTCAGATATTATAGTTATAGTATAACTGTTATACAATATGATACATAAATTATTTATGAGTAAACATATAAAGTTATATTTTTTAAAGTTTATACGTTACAAATGTTTATATACTTATATCTATACAGTATATACTGTATATTGAAAAATAAGGGTTTCTAATAAAATAATATCATATACTGTATTACAACCAATGTTGAATAATAATGAAATTTTCTGTATAAATATTCACATTACACGTTACAAATAAACTAATAAATTAAATGTATTTAATTAATCAAACACATAAAGTAAGTGAATTATTGAGAGAGAGAGAGAGAGAGAGAGAGAGAGAGAGAGAGAATATTATACATATTCAGAAAATTAAAACATTTTTGAAAACTTATTTGATAAATCATTTACAAAATATATATTTTTTTGCATGAATTTAGGTGTTTAAGGTGGACCTAAATTGTGGGTCAAATTTATCTCTTGTTAATCGACATAAATATTATATATTGTATATACAGTTTATACTAAATTTTAATATTTATATAATAAAATACAACATTTTTTCTAAACAATAGATAAACAACTAATACAGTGAATAAAAGGTTAATATTTACCAGATGTTATCATTAAAATTAATAAATTTTTTTCCAATAAATATATTTTAAACATGATATTGGTTTTAAAATCAGTAGTAATGAGTGAGAGGTTAATTGACATAAAATTTATTATTTATGATCCAAATAAAATAATAATATAAAATGAAATTATTTTTGTTAGGTTTCAATTAATAATGACATATCAAAGTTTTTTTTTCAAATTTACATTATTTCAACAATAATTGCAGTTTACTATTGCACCGGTATGTACTGTATAAGATCATAGATGTTTAAAAAAAATTATTTATTTAAAAAAATATATTTCAATGACTAGAAAATTAAATTATACAATTAAGTAGTCAGAAAAATATTGAATGCCAGTAATTTCATCATAAATTAATTATATCAATGTTTCAAAATTTTAATATGTTTCAATCAAATAGAGTTTATTTATTTATTTAATAATTTTTTTTTGCTATCAATTTATTTTATTATTATCAAGGTCATCGATTATCATCAGTTAATATAATAGAAAACTATAGTACAATAAAAATTTCTATTCATAAAAAACTATAATGACTTCTAAAAATAAGTAATTAATTTATTTTTTACAGACAAATAATTTAATCTTTTTTTTAAACTGATTGTTATTTATAAATATAATTTGGAATATTTTTTATGTTTTAAATATCAATATGTGTTTAAAGGGGAAAATAATTATAGTATATATATATATATATATATATATATATATATATATATATATATATATATATATATATATATTATTTTTGTCGTAAACATATTTATATATGTACCAGTACAATTATGGTACTGAAAATTTGTACTGATTTTTTTGAGGAAAGTTTTTTTTAATTTCTTATTTTGAATGAATTTCATTGAAGTATAAAAATATTATTATAAATTTATTTTATTTTTTAAAAAAATTGACATATGTTATCAAATAATAATTTCTTATTATAATAGTAAATATAAACTTTTTAGGCATAAAAAATATATATATAATTTTATTATAATTATAAGATTCAAATTTTATTTTATAAATAATGGTGACCATGATAAGGGCATTAAATATACAGTACTATAATATTAGCTACTGTATTGTCAATAATTATATACAATATTATTAGTATATGTATTTTTTAAATGTAAATAAATAATATTTTTTCATAAATATAAAAATGAATTATGTAATATTTAATTAATAATTTATATTTTAAATATAATATATTTATACAGGTGAGGAGAATAAAGTTGAAGACGTTTTTGATGAACGATTTGCTTGATATGGCAAATATTGGATAAAAGATTTTTACTAAAAAATAATCTGCAAATATGTAAAATTGTTGTTATATAAAATATTTTAAAATCTAATTAAAAATTTGGCTACAATTTACTTTTAAAGTTGAGATATACCTTTAGACATTTTTAACCAAAATTATTTTAGTTATTTTTGTTTGTTTAAACGAGTATTTTAAATATTAAAAAACTGATATTTTTTGGGGACATAGTAAAACTTAAAGGCATCATTTGCTAAAAAATTAAATTAATTTTTAATAAAAGCAATAGTCGTTTTGACCATTTAAAATCTCTATGGACAATAAAGTTATTATTTTAGTTAAAATCTGTATTAATAGTAAAAAAATAACTAAATATGCTCTAAATAAATATAATATTATTAATTTAAAGATATCTTTAAAAAAATATTAAATACTATAAATTAATGATGAATATTTTTGTCTAAAACTTTACAGTCTTAAACAATGATGAGATAGAGTATATCTTCAAGATTTTCTATATTTGTTTTTTAGATATTTATTAAAATTTTGTTTTATAATTTAATTTTGATGCATTAAACATGACTGTATAAAATGCGAAAAATATAATTTATTTCTCAACTTTAACTAGAGTAAATTAATGTAATTATTTATTGCTGATAATTTTTTATATTAATGTGATTTTGCTTTATTAATTTAAGCAATTTTATAAAATTTTGCTGCGGATTTTTAAGTTTTAGAACTAATTAATTGTTTTTAATTTTAATTTTTTAATTATATGTATTATTATTACAATTATTAATTTAAATTCAGTTATTTGAGTTATGTTTAACTTATTTGATTTGTCTTTTGACTTGGAATTTTAGAACTTTTATGCAATTTTTTAAACTAATGTTTACATTTATTATTAGGAATTATGATTTTTATAACTTTTTTTGTTTTAAAATATATTATTATTAAATACTAATATTAATTATTGTTTAAAAATCACTAAAAGTGTATTTCAACTTTGAAAGTAAATTGTAACCAAATTTTAAATCGTATATTAATATAATTTTTATCACACAATTTTACATATTTGGAGATTATTTTTCAGTAAAAAAATAATATCTAATATTTGCTATATTTTGTAAATCATTCATCAAAAACGTCTTCAACTTTATTCTCCCTATCTGTATATATTAAGTAAGTTTTATATATTATATATATATACATAAAATTAAAATAGAAAAATTATGAATAATATTTATTAGAATATTAAATGTAGTTTTATTAATAGCAATATTATAATTTTAATAATAATTATTTATTCACAAATTATTATATTATAATCAACAACTCATAACATGTTTACAAAATTATTAGTTTTGTTATTATTTTAACAAATCGTTTACATGAAAATTTGTTACATGACT